TGTCGGTTTGGCCGCCTGCACATGTTTCTCTTGTGGACTCCTCCTCTTCTGCTACCGTGAACCAGGGGGGCCACTGGGGGGCCAGCCAGGGGATCCCAGGACCACTGATCCCAGCCTCACAAACATGGGCTTCTGGGGAGTAAAAGCCTCTTGGATCATCACCTTCTTGTAGGTGACTAATAGGTGATGAGATCCCTGGCCTGGCGAGGCAGGCCTTACAGGGTGGATCTGATGTCTGTAAGGGCAGCACTCACAGCAGGAGCTGGTTAAAACAGCCAAGGACAGCTTGTTTGCGGTGCAGATGTGCACGTGCACTGGGTCTGGAAGTCCTTCCCTGCTCCTTGCTCCTCCGCCCGTAGCTCCATTACACAGCCTGGGTGTAATGAACTCGTGTCAGAGTCTGAGCAGGCAGCACCCAGGGAGGACTCTTTTCTGTCAGCTTCTTGACTGTGAGAGCCTGGAGAGACTGGGCTGGAGGTTGACAGTCACCTCAGTATTAAAACCAGGAGAACTGTTGGAGAGGAAGGCTTCAGGGGACCATAATGGTGAAGCGTAGGCCTCCATCGGTGAGAAAGCAGTGAGCAGAGGGGCAGCTGTGGTTATGACTCGAGACAGGTCTCCATTTCCACTTCTGCTTTCCCTCTGCTGGCACAGGGGGTTCTCCTCCTTTTAGTGTGCTCCGTCCAAAATAACAGTGATCTAGAGATGGAGAAATGGGGTGGTTGTTTTCCAGATTGGAGTGTTGAAAGTCCCCAGCTTACAAGGTTCAGCCACTTTTCCTAGTCTGTTGGATGCAGAGACAGTGGCAGGATCCCCAAAGGCAGTTCTCAGTGGCAGCACCTGGGGGCACTGTTCCCAGAAGAGGAATGGCACATGGCACACACTTCCTCCTATGCAGGCCTTTCTCCCTTCAGTAGTTGAAGGACTAATCATTCAGTGAGTTTATTTGTATACAGTAGGTTAGGGAAACTATGTTCATGTGAGGTTCTGCCAGTTAATGAATTAAGTCCTAGCAGAGTAGCCATGCATCTGACTTTCTCGTAGACGCCATCGGCGTGTCTTCTTGGTCACATTTGCTTTAGAAGAATGAGCATTGTGCATTTAACCTGAGCTTAGTAGGGCTTTGCATATGTGCAGTATGGAAACTCTTAAAACACTTGTTGACCTTTTAGTTTGTCCTTTCAAGAGTTTTTGGGTAGATGGTTTGTTGTTCTTGATAACGCCCTCCTCTCTGGGCACAGGAACCTGCTTGAAGGGTCCAGCCTAGGAGCCCTCTCAGCCCTGCTCTGCAGGTGGTTGGTATCTGTCCCAGTGTCCATAAGCACTAGACTTTGTCATTTTGTCACTGCAGATTGATCCAGTGGGTACATATACTAATTAGTGTCTTTCCTTATTTAAAGGAGTCCCTCTTGCTGAAGGTAGATGATTACTATTACTGTAGTGTTCAAGTATTAAGTTTATGCTGAAAATCCATTGCCATTTGGTACAAATGACATTTGTTCTTTCTGTGAAAGAGAGTTACCCTTGAGTGTTTGTACACAGACCCACATGGTGAGCTAAGGAAGGAAGCATTAGCCCCAGGCATTCTGTGATGGGCGGCATCACGGGGAGACTGCCTGCAGACTGGGGGCCCTTCCTGCTCCCTCGTTTAGCCAGACTTTGGTGTTTTACCTCAATGTCCTTGTACTGAAGCTTGTGGTGTCGAGCCCGTGTCTCTGGCAGGCACCAGGAACCCCTCGTGGGGGCCTGGAGTGTGTACACCTAGTCCGTGGGAAGGGTACTGTGCTTGCTGTGCTTAAAAACATCTGTGTAGTTTTCAGCCCGACAAAGAATAAGCTTATGAGTGTGGTGTCCTAAAATGAAAACTGCTCCCATGGGGAGAACAGCTGAGTGAGTGACAGCCGGATGGCTGGGAAGTGCTAGTTTCTGTGAGACCGCGCTCGGCCTTCTGTGTCTTTGTGACCGTGCGGACAAGCTTTTAGAAATAGGTAAAACATTAACTTTCTATTTTTGCAAGTTGGTAAGAAAGGACTTTTCCAGGTAATTTTATCATCTTTTCAAGTATCCTGTGTGCTCTGGGTGGCCTTTTCCCCTGTTTTAGAACATGTGGAGTTTAATAGAACCGGTTAAAAATTGAGTTTTTGTTTAAAGTAAGTGCTTTTTCCAGATGAAAACTACCTGTTTAGTTTGTTTTGAAGGTAAGGAAAGGAGGAGGAAAAATTGTTCTTTAATTATATTCAGTCTGTGATTAAGCATTTGATTATTAGACAGCAGTTGCACTAAAAAGTTTTGTCAGAAATTAATTGTAAACATCAGAACAGAACTCTTAGTTATGGCAAAGACAGTTGTCTTCAGATAAATGGCTCATACTTCGGTGCAGTGTTTGATGTTCAAAACAAAGCATTACAACAATAAACAAACATAAACTTGAATGCCTTTGACTCTTTCCTTCAGAGGACATTTAAACCATCTTCTCTGTACTCTTGCCAGAAACTGATCATTTCCATTAATTAGCATTTTGATCTTTCCTGACACTTAAATTTGTCCAGAGAGGACTTCTTTTTCGTGCTTATTTTTATAAAACCTGACTCCACAAATGAGGCTACAACTACAGGAACTAACCTCTCTTGCTTTGTAGGTCCTGCCAGGGAGAGTCAGTCATACATACTTAATTTCAGGTGTGTTCTCACTGGGGTCCTCCAGGCTGTCTCCCTCCTGCCCCCCAGCCCTTGTGAGGTCCCCTGAGAGTCCTGCTAAGAGCCTCTTCCCCCCACCTTTCATTAACCTTTCCTCAGGGTGAATACTAGCTACTTAGCAATCCCGATGTTTTCATCAGCTCAGGAGAGTTAGTGCAATCGCTCTAGGATCAAAAACCACATCCCAAATACTATGTAAACGAGTGTCTTTTTACCCCTCAGATTGCTGGGTCCTGCCAGATGCAGTATGTGTTGAATGTGTTGAATCCCAAAGCCCTCCGGGAGCGTGTGCCTCCGAGCATGGACTTTCATTGATTTCATGCTGCTGCACTGTGATGTAACGGCCTGGCTGGGTGAGAGGACAGAGTGAAGGGAACTGTGGTGTTTGGGGTGTGTTTAGGAATAGGAAGGAAGAACTCAAGATGGGGGGTTGGTCCTAAGGGACACAGCTCAGTGCTTCAGGGAGGAGCAGGTGGGTCCAGCACGCAGCTCTCAGAGGGCCTCTCGGGCTGCAGCTGCCCCCTGCTGCACTATGCCCCCTTTGAATCTGGGTGCTCGGCCTTTGTCCTTCCCTTTGGTGGGGCAGTATATGGGAAACGCATGTGTGTTTAGAAAGTGGACACGGATATATGGAAAGCTTTGTTTCAGTTCTGCAGGCATGGACTTGGGCCTGTCTCTGATCACAAAGTTTCCTTTCAAACTGCAAATCAGTGATGAGAAACAATTTAAAAGATAGGGTTTCTGAGAAAACTAGATGACTGTGCTAACAGGGAGGTAATTTCAGTTTTATATTGATTTGCATTCTTTTCTTGTGAATCATTTCGTTGGTTTGTTAGTAATCGTTTAAATGAGGCCATTTGCTAATGGGGGGTGGAGAAAAAAGTCTCAGTCTCATCTCTGCTTAAGGAAGTGCCCTGACCTTTTTTCTCAGCAACAGCTCCTTTATTTCAAAAGTTGTAACCTGGTTACACGTTGAAATGATGATGCATGGTTAAATGATCAAGTCCTAGGGCTTGGTTCATGCGTCTGAGCTTACGGGCTGTCAACTTCTGGAAGGGGCTGCTGTGCCCATAGCCCTGAGTTCAGCTGGCCTTGAATCTTCTCTCTTGTACAAGGACAACCTTTCATTTAAGAAGCTGTCTCCTAATTGAGGGTGACCGGCTTTCAGCCTATTCTATCTCTATGTAAATGCAGGACCTGCTGTGATTAGACTCATCTCCTTTGCCTATCTTGGGTACACACAGCTGAAATCCACCTTTTTTGGTGAGTCATCAAGATTTGCTAAGAGACGAGGAACAAGTTTACTGTGGAGCAGAAGGAAAGTGGTCATTGTCACCCTTCTGCCTGGACCTTGCCTTTCTGGCTGTGGAGCATTTGCCCCCCTGTGGTGCCGAGTTAAGGTCCAGGGAGGGAGCAGGAGGGGGGCAGAAGCATGTACACATGTCAGCTGAGTTTTCCTGAAAATGTTCCTCTGCTGTGGGGTTTCTCCATGAGTCATTTTTAGAACAGCCAGTAATACTCTGACAGCCACCTTTAGCCAGTTCCCCACCTATGGGAATGGGATGAGAATGACTCCCCACCAGCTCTGGGCAGAGGCCTGGATTTGAAAGCTCAAAAGCAGTAAATCTTCAGCTCCTGGTCATGGCTCCCTGGCTGGCGCAGGGGCTGAGGAAGAAGCTGCTCTGAAGTGTCCATTGGCAACTGTAATCTCATTTGCAAGCAGCCTTGAAAATTCAAAAAGTAATTTTACAGCATAAGAGCATCTAGTGGCTTGGTTCAGGCCAAGAAAACATCTTCCCCTGGGGCTCTAGGACCCTTGATTGGCCAACGGATTTAACGAACCTGATGAGCACAGACCACCTGCGGCTAGAGGTCTCTGTGCCTGCTGCTGGAGGAGTAACATGCCTGGTGTCCCTGGAACAGAACGTGCTCTCCATGGAAAGACTGCTTTCCTCAGATGATCTCAGCTTTCAGGGGGGTGGTTTTATGTTGGGCCTCATGTTGCCTGGGAACCTAAGGGTTCTTAGCACTGCATCTGCTGTGAGCTCTGCAGCCAGCGGTCTCATTAGATATGAATGTTAAACATCCCCTGGAGGAGCTACTCGTCAGCTGTGAGGATCACATGGAGGTCTTGACCTCTAAAATATCTGGTCTATCTGGACAAGGAAAAAACCCAAGTGTAGAGCTTGGATTCTGAGGAGTAACATAGTTCAGACTAACTTATTCAGGCTTACTTTCTACAGCCATAAAAGAAATTTGCAGTTTGCTTTTTAGCAACAACCATCAACCCAAAAGGCACCAGACTGAAAGTGGTTTAATCTTTATTGGCACTCCCTGTCTTCGCACTCAATTGTACATGTCATTCAAGGAGTGCAGCAAGCTGCAGAGACAGTCTCTCGTGCATCCCTTCACTGCTGGACAAAAGCCCATGTGAGCAGCAGGGAGCCAAGCCCCAGCAGCCCAGACGACCCGTGGATCAGTAGTGGCATGTGCCATCACAGCACTTCGGTGTTTAAACTTCTCTTCTCCATGCAGCATAAAGAAAGACAAAATAGTCAGCGATGGTTCTGCTCTCCAGTCAAAATTGTAGCCCCAGGTACCAGGTGTGCTGGCCCACTTCCTCCCAGCCCATAGCCCAGCAGCTCTCCCTCTCCATCAGCAGGATGTGACCCTGTGGCCTTGCCCTGCTGGGGGGCACCCTATGGGTCCAGAGCAGGCAGTGCAGAGCTGGGAGCTGCAACGATTCCTGACTCCAGTCGTCCAGTGGAGCAGCAGAAGGCAGTGGCCACATAACCAATTACAGCTCCTCGCTGTCTGCCTGGGACCTCCAAGGCTTGGTGGTCTAGCAGCCAGGTAGAACCTTTATCTTGGGGGAGGTGATGAGATGGCTGTAGAAAACTAGACCAGTGCTCCATTACCTACATAAACTGAATATATTAAAACTTCCAAGTTCTTACAGTTACCTTTCCTCTTTTTTCCCTAGAGGTGAGAAAGAAAAGGATATAAGAAAACCCCACTAAATGTGGAATACATCTCATCAAAGTCTGTGTGAGCCAACCTGCCCCCAGTCACCACTATGTTGACACCATCTCCTGCCTTCAAGTGCACAATAAGGTGGAAGGCCCCTGGGCCTCCACAAGTGTGCAGGGCCCCCTGGGGCTGGTGATACTCCAGGAATTCTCTCTTGTAGCCGGCTGTGTGCAGCTGGGCCACACTGCCATTGGAGACCGACAGGACAGCTTCCACGTATGCATCTCTCTCAGGAGTGAGGGTGGCTGTGATGAGGTATCGCCCATCATAGGGAGCTGTGAAAATCCCTGAGGAAGAAGTCAGACACCTGTGCTCGTGACACCATCACCACCCTTTGTGACAGGTTATCAGTTAACCCAATGTAGAGGGACCAGTCATCTTGGTTTGCCCCAGTTTTGGTTCTCAAAGTCATGGGCAAACCTTGAGAGTTGGACACCCTACTTGTAGAAGGCAGCAGACTGACAGGCAGGGAAAGGTATCCCCTTTTTACGCCTGCACCCACCTTTACTCCCTTTCCCAACCCCGCCTTAGCTCAGGCTGCATTTCTACATTGCATGGCTCTTTGCCACTGACCCAGTCTTTGTTGCAAGACCTAGCTTCTTGCAACATCTAGAAGAGGACAATCCCTGCAAAACACCCAGGATTTATGTACTATAATTCAGGACCATAGGAAAAGCTTGGCTCACAGAGAACTAGATAGCCTTGCTGGAAGAGAGCTCATTCCCTCTAATATTCCAGCAGTGGGTCCATGGAGCCTTTGCAATCGGTGTTCATGGCCCATGCTCCATGAAGACACAGGGCTGAGGTCCAGCATGTGGCCTGCCGCCCACCTTACCTAAGATTTAATAAGGAAACAGCAGCTGCCCAGATGCTGGTTGCTTCTTTGGAGTTTTCTCCATCACTGAGAGCACCCCAAGTCCAACTTAGAATCAACCCTACAGATTACTGCTGTGCATAATATCCATGAAACACCTGAGCGGCCTCCTGAGGAGGCCACGATCAAAAAGAACCACAAGCCTTGTTGCTAACCCAGGGAGAGGCCACACCAGCCCTCATGTGGACAAGTTAGACTGGTATGTAGGTGGCCTCTGTTCTTGACCAGCTGACATTCACTTAACCAATAACCCAAAGTTTTGGGCCTGCAGAGGTGGGGAGTGGTGGTGGGAGGTGGGGAGGTGGCATAAGGTAGAGGAGGTAATGTTTGTGGATGTTGTAGATGCACCATTAGCAAAGTAGTTGCAGGTGGCCCCAGAGCTTGGAAAGCAGAGCCCACCCACTCCAAAGGGGGACATGAGCAGTGTCGCTGCATGGGCTCTGGGGAGGCAGCCAGACATGGGCCACTGACTACAGGCTAAACGGAGCTGAACAGTAATCACAGACTAGGTCTTCAATCTGCCTTGAAAAATAGAAAATGCCAGGCCAGAAAGATGGCAGCATGAGAGGTGAGACTGAAACCTCCTCCTAAAACCACATATAATATGAAAATATAGCAAATACACCAAATCCTGAAAAGAGCAACAGGAAAGGCTGTGGTAGACTGTCTCCACCTGGGGAAACCAGCAGACCTCAAGGAAAAGGGTAAAGTATCAAAGCTGTTATCTGGAAGGACCCAAGCCTTTCCCCCACCCCAGCTCCCTGGAGGGAGAAAGAGAAACAGAGTGGGGAGGGGGTGGAGGCCTACACCTGCTAAACACCCAGCCCTGGAGATCTGCTCGGGGAGCATGAACCTACATTACATGGTGCTCTGGAGATTAGTGGGGTTGAAAGCTAAGACAGGCAGAATACTTGGGGAGACTGAGATACCAGGAAAACAGGGATCCACATCTGGCTGTGCTGGGACAAAAGAAAGGTGGGCAGTCTGAGAGACTTCCCAGCAGTGAGAAGGCTGCTAAAGGGGCAAGGATGGCAGAGCTTGCTGCTACGGATAAAGGACAGATGGACAAAATGGTCTGGGTGCACTCTGGCCAGCAGGTTGGAAATGTTCAGAAACTTCAGGCACTCCATCCCCCTGCATGGCTACATAGTTCCAAGTCCCCTCCACGGCAATATGCAGCCTGCTGCGCCTTCCTCCTGGCCAGCACCAGCTCACAAACCAGCTGCCCTCACCATTGTGCCAGACGAGCTGGAGGGTGGTCCCACCTACGGCAGCTACAAGTGTAAAGCATAGAGGCTTCTCCCTGCATGCTTGGCCCACTGGCTCTAGCAGTGGAGACGAGGCACTGCAGCTGAGAAGCAGGAAAGACATCTTTCCTTCCGACAGGCACCAGCGCCACTCGCCTGTGACTCCCGCCATCACTCTAGGGGCCGAGCAGCTCCAGAGAGTAAAGCTTCTGGGCCCTAGAGGGTGCCACCTACAAATATGAAACATCCAAGGAACGTGATTCAAACTACAATCCCACAAACACCAGAAAGAGGGCCAAGTGAAACTGAACTCATCAATCTTCCTGAAAGAGATCTCAAAATAAAAATCACAAACATGCTCACAGAGCTACAGTTCTTATTCAAGAACTCAGGGAGGAATTCAGGAAAGAGATACAAACATTGACTAATACGGTATCTGAAATGAAACATTACAATGGAGGGATTTCAAACCAGATTAGATGAAGTAGAGGAGACAGTAACAAATAGAAATTAGAGAACAGGAATACAAAGAGGCTGAGACACAGAAAGGAAAAAGGATCTCTAGGAATGGAAGAATATTGAGAGAACTGTGTGACCGATCCAAACGGAACAATATTTGCATTATAGGGGTACCAGAAGACGAAGAGAGAGAAAAAGGAATAGAAAGTGTCTTCAAGGAGGTAATTGCTGAAAGCTTCCCCAGTCTAGGAAAGGAGATAGTCCCTCAGGCAATGAAGGTGCACAGATCTCCCAACACAAAGAACCCAAGGAAGACAATGTTAAAGACATATCATAATTAAAATGGCAAAGGTGAAGGATAAAGATGAGTATTAAAAGCAGCCAGAGAGAAAAAAATCACAAAGGAAAATCCATCAGGCTATCATCAGACTTCTCAACAGAAACCTTACAAGCCAGAAGGGAGTGGCAAGATACACTTAATGCAGTGAAGCAGAAGGGCCTCAAACCAAGAATACTCTACCTGGCAAGGTTATCATTTAAATTTGAAGGAGGGATTAAACAATTTCCAGATAAGCAAAAGCTGAGAGAATTTACCTCCCACAAACCATCCCTACAGTGTATTTTGGAAGGACTGCTATAGATGGAAATGTTCCTAAGGCTAAATAGCTATCACCAGAAGAAATAAAACTACAGTGAAAAAGTAGACCAATTAATTACTAAGCAGATGCAAAATCAAATCAACCACCCCCAAAGTGAGTCAAGGGACAGACAAAGAGTACAGTATACGATACCTAATATATAAAGAATTGGAGGAGGAAGGAAAAGGAGGGGGGAAAAGAACCTTTTGATGGTTTGCAATAACATATGAAGTGAGTTAAATTAGACTGTTAGATAGCAAGGAAATTACCCTTGAACGTTTGGTAACCACAAATCTAAAGCCTACAATGGCAGTAAGTACATACCAATTGATAATCGCCCTAAATGTAAATGGTCTGAATGCACCAATCAAAAGACATAGAGTCAAAAAGACATCCTACAGTATGGGAGAATATATTCATAAATGACATATCTGATAAGGGTTTGACATCCAAATTATATAAAGAGCTCATGCACCTCAACAAACAAAAAGCAAATAAGCCAATTGAAAAACGGGCAGAGGAGCTGAACAGACACTTCTCCAAAAAAGAAATTCAGATGGCCAACAGGCACATGAAAAGATGCTCCACATCGCTAATCATCAGAGAAATGCAAATTAAAACCACAATGAGATATCACTTCACACCAGTTAGGATGGCCAATATGCAAAAGACAAACAACAACAAATGTTGGCAAGGATGTGGAGAGAGGGGAACCCTCCTACACTGCAAAATAATTCAACCATTGTGGAAAGCAGTATGGAGGTTCCTTAAAAAACTCAAAATAGAAATACCATTTGACTCAGGAATTTCACTCCTAGGAATTTACCCTAAGAATGCAGCAGCCCAGTTTGAAAAAGACATATGCACCCCTATGTTTATCGCAGCAGTATTTACAATAGCCAAGTGGAAGCAACCTAAGTGTCCATCAGTAGATGAATGGATAAAGAAGATGTGGTACATATACACAGTGGAATATTATTCAGCCATAAGAAGAAAATAGATCCTACCATTTGCAACAACATGGATGGAGCTAGAGGGTATTTTGCTCAGTGAAATAAGCTGGGCAGAGAAAGACAAGTATCAAATGATATCACTTATCTGTGGAGTATAACAGCAAAGCAAAAACTGAAGGACGAAAACAGCAGCAGACTCACAGAACCCAAGAATGGACTAATAGTTACCAAAGGGAAAGGGACTGGGGAGGGTGGATGGGAAGGGAGAAATAAGGGGGAAAATGGGGCATTATGATTAGCACACATAATGTGGTGGGGAGGGACATGGGAAATGCAGTATATACAGAGAAGACAAGTAGTGATTCTATAGCATCTTACTACGCTGATGGACAGCGACTGTAATGGGGTATGTAGGGGGGACTTGATAATGGGGGAGTCTTCAAGTAATTTTACATTAATGATATCAAAAGTAAAAAATTTTTAAAAAGTCATAGAGTCACTGAATGGATAAAAAAACAAGACCTGCCTCTACGCTGCCTACAAGAGATTCACCCAAAGACATGCACAGATGAAAAGTGAAATGATGGAAAAGATATTTCATGCAACTAGTAGGGAGAAAAAAGCAGGAGTTGAGTACTTGTATCAGACAAAATAGACTTCAAAACAAAGAAAGTAACAAGAGACAAAGAAGGACATTACATGGTGAATGGTAAAGGGGTCAGTCCAACAAGATGATATAATCATTATAAATATCTATGTACCCAACTCAGGAGCACCTATATATGTGAAAGAAATACTAACAGAATGAAAGGGGGGAAATAGAATGCAATGCATTCATTTTAGGAGACTTCAACACACCACTCACTCCAAAGGACAGATCAATCAGACAGAAAATAAGCAGAACTCTACACCCAAAAGCAGCAGGATACACATTCTTCTCAAGTGCACATGGAACATTTTCAAGAATAGATCATATACTAGACCACATTAAGAGCCTCAGTAAATTCAAAATGATTGTGGTCTGAGAAGCTGGTTGGTACAATGTCAAAGGTATGGAACTAGAAATAAATTAGGCAAAGAAAATGGAAAAGCCCACAAACATGGAGGCTTAACAACATGCTCCTAATTTAAATAATCAATGGATCAATGACCAAATAAAACCAGAGATCAAGCAATATATGGATACATAATTGACAACAATAACTGAACACCACAAAATCTGTGGGAAACAGCGAAGGCCATGCTAAGAGGGAAGTATATGGCAATACAGGCCTACCTCAGGAAAAAAGAACAATCCTATATGAACAGTCTAAACTCAAAATTAATGAAACTAGATAAAGAACAAATGAGGCCCAAACTCAGTAGAAGGAGGGACATAATAAAGATCAGAGCAGAAATAAATAAAATACAGAAGAATAAAACAATAGAATCAATGAAAGCAGGAGCTGGATCTTCAAGAAAATAAACAAAATAGATAAACCCCTAGCCAGATTTATCAAGAAAGAGAGTCTACATACAAAACAGAATCAGAAATGAGAAAGGAAAAATCACTATAGACACCACAGAAATACAAAGAATTATTAGAGAATACTATGAAAAATTATATGCTAACAAACGATAACTTAGAAGAAGTGGACAACTTTCTAGAAAAATACAACCTTCCAAGGCTGACCCAGGAAGAAAAAGAAAATATGAACAGACCAATTACCAGCAAGGAAATTGAAAACTCAAAAAACTACCTGAGAACAAAGGCCCTGTACCAGATAGCATCACTGCTGACTTTAATCAAACATTTAGTGAAGACTTGATACCCATCCTCCTTAGTTTTCCAAAAAGTAGAAGACAAGGGAATACTCCCAAATTCATTCTATGAGGCCAGCATCACTCTTAATACCAAAACCAGGCAAATACATGACAAAAAAAGAAAATTACAGAACAATATCCCTGATGAACATAGATGCAAAACTACTCAACAAAATATTAGCAAACTGAATTCAAAAATACATCAAAAAGATCATCAATCACGATCAAGTAGGATTTATTCCAGGGATGCAAGGATGGTACAACATTCAAAACTCCTTCAACATCATCCACTACCATCAACAAAAAGAAGGACAAAAACCACATGATTATCTGCATAGATGCTGAAAAAGCATTGACAAAATTCAACATCCATTCATGATGAAAACTCTCAACAAAATGAGTATAGAGGGCAAGTACCTCAACATAATAAAGGCCATATATGACAAACCCACAGCCAACATCATACTTGACAATGAGAAGCTGAAAACTTTTCCTTTAAGATCGGGAACAAGACAAGGATGCCCACTCTCCCCACTTTTATTCAACATTCTTCTGGAGGTCCTAGCCACGGCAATCAGAGAACATAAAGAAAAGGCATCCAGACTGGTAAGGAAGAAGTTAAATTGTCCCTGTTTGCAGATGACATGATATTATACATAGAAAACCCTAAAGAATCCACCCCAAAACTACTAAAACTAATATCTGAATTCAGCAAAGTTGCGGGATACAAAATTAATACACGGAAATCTGTTGCATTCCTATATACTAATGATGAACTAGCAGAAAGAGAAATCAAGAAAACAATTCCATTCACAATTGCATCAAAAGAATAAAATACCTCGAAATAAACCTAACCATGGAAGTGAAAGACCTGTACCCTGAAAACTACAAGACACTCTTTAAGAGAAATTAAAGAGGATACCAATCAATCAAAACACATCCCATGCTCATGGATAGGAAGAATTAATATTGTCAAAATGGCCATCCTGCCTAAAGCAATCTGCAGAGTCAATGCAATTCCTATCAAACTATCAACAGCATTCTTCAATGAATTAGAACAAATAGTTCTAATATTCATATGGAACCACAAAAGACTCCAAATAGCCAAAGCAATCCTGAAGAGAAGAATGAAGTGGGAAGGATTACACTCCCTGACTTCAAGCTCTACTAGGAAGCCACAATAATCAAAACAACTTGCTACTGGCACAAGAACAGACCCATAGATCAATGGAAGAGAATAGAAAGCCCAAATATAAAGTCAAGAATATATGGTCAATTAATATATGATAAAGGAGCCATGGATATACAATGGAGAAAAGACAGACTCTTAAAACAACTGGTGTTGGCAAAACTGGACAGCTACATATAAGAGAAACTGGCTTATTGTCTTAGTTCCATACAGAAAAGTAAACTCGAAATGGATCAAAGACCTGAATGTAAGTCATGGAACCATAAAACTCTTAGAAGAAAACATACACCAAAATCTCTTGAATATAAACATGAGCAACTTTTTCCTGAACACATCTCCTCAGGCAAGAGAAACAAGCAAAAATGATCAAATGGGACTACATCAAGCTAAAAATCTTCTGTACAGCAAAGGACACCATCAGTAGAACAAAAATGTATCCTACAGTATGGGAGAATATATTTGTACATGACATACCTGATGGGGTTAACACCCAAAATACATAAAGAACTCACATGCCTCAACACCCAAAAAGCAAATAACCCTATTAAAAAAGGGGCAGATGGTATGAACGGACAATTCTTCAAAGAAGAAATTCAGATGGCCAACAGGCACATGAAAAGTTGCTCCACATCACTATCAGGGAAATGCAAATTAAATCCACAATGAAATATCACCTCACACCAGTTAGGATGGCTAACATTGAAAAGACTAGGAACAACAAATGCTGTTGAGGATGCAGAGAAAGGGGAACCCTCCTACACTGCTGGTGGTACTGTAAATTAGTTCTACCATTGTGGAAAGCAATATGGAGGTTCCTTAAAACACTAAAAATAGAAATACCATTTGACCTGGGAATCCCACTCATAGGAATTTACCCATAGAAAACAAGTTCTCAGATTCAAAAAGACATGCACCCCTATATTTAGTGCAGCAGTATTTACAATAGCCAAGATATTGAAGCAACCTAACTGTACATCAGTAGATGAATGGTAAGAAGAGGTAGTACATATACAGAATGGAATACTATTCAGCCATAAGAAGAAAACAAATCTTACCATTTGCAACAACATGGATGGAGTTAGAGGGTATTATACTGAGTGAAATAAGGCAGGCAGAGAAAGACAAATACCAAATAATTTCCCTCATTTGTGGAGTGTAACCACAAAGCAAAACTGAAGGAATAAAATAGCAGCAGACTCACAGACTCCAAGAAGGGACTAGCGGTTACAAAAGGGGAGGGATGTCAGGAAGGGTGGGTGGGGAGGGAGGGAGAAGGCGATTGAGGTATATTATGGTTAGTACACATGGTGTGTCAGGGGTCACAGAGAAGACAAGGAGTGACTCTGGCATCTTACCACACTGATGGACAGTGACTGCAATGGGGTATGGGGGGGACTTGATAATATGGTGAATGTAGTAACCACAGTGTTTTTCTGCAAAACCTTCATAAGAGTATATATCAATGATACCTTAATAAAAATTTAAAGAAAGAAAAAATGCCAGGCTACCTGGCTCCCTTCCCAGGCTTTTAATAGTAAGTAATCTAAAGCTCCAGGAGTCCTTCCCAAGGTGTGGGGGCCTGGAGCACTGTAGGCTCCTGGTCACCTTCACTGAGGAACTGCCTGCAGGGGGGCTGCCTTCAGGTCGCCTGGAATTTCCTTCACTGAGGCCCTGTTGGGTGAAAGGGGCACCCTGGGAACAAGAGAGAAATGAGGGTCATCCTCCTTGCTTGTGAAAATCACCTGCCCTGTGAGTGGACAGGCGGCCCCCCGACGAGGCAGCAGGGAGTGGGGGCTCCAGGAGGGGCTGTGCCTGAAGTGGAGGCAGAGCGGCACTTACACGCCCATCCTGCCTCCTGGCCTTGGCTGGCACCCCCTGGGTACCATTTTTCCGAGTTCTGCAGATGATGTCCATGCTGACTAAAACAACCGCTGTCCTAAGAACAGGTGGGATTTAGTACGACAGTGGCCAGGCAAGCCAGAGTGAGGTGCTCACTGAAGACTGCCAAGAAGGAACCTACTGTCTCCCCAGTAGCCTGCCTGAGACCCACCAGCCAGCATGGGCACCTCTGTCTGCTGGTGGCGATGGGCCCAGAGAGGCCCCAGTCATGGCCCTGGTACACTGTCCCTTTACAGAGGACATCAGGGGTGGGGGGCTCAGCAGGAGGGAGGGAGCCTGTACAGTGGGAACGGGGGGGGGGTGGCAGCCTCCGCCCCACTGTCTTTACCAGCTGGGGAACAATGCAGGCACTGTAGGCAGAACCCAGTACCACAGCTGTCCCAGAGCAGGGGGCCCTGCATGCTGGGCCCCGCCACTTCTGGAGGGAATACTCTCCTTTTTTGGCTTTGTTACAAACCATGAGCTTCCGAAGGAATCAGGGCAGAAGTGTTCTTTCACCTGTCCTGACTCAGGGTGTTAGGATGACAGACACCAAGAAAGAGCGCCTCAGTGGCTTGAGGGGTGGGGGGTAAAGTGGGAGGGGCCAGGACATGGTGGCTGCAGCTGGCAGAGCCTAACAGCCTCCACAACAAACGAGTGATTCTGGTATGCTGATCTCATGACTAGAAAATGTCACTGCACACCCACCTGCCCGCCCACCCTGTGGCCTGTGACCTGGGACCTTCTTAAAAGCCCACAGAATGGGGAAGAGCAACATGGCCAGCCGCTCAGGGGCATCTCCTCCACAGGACCAGGACAGGAGGGTTCACCTCACATTTAGGTAAAAGGCTTCAGAGAGGAGATGAACACAGCCCACAACTTACCGGTGTGGGGGTCGTAAGCATCGCCATCATTTACCAGCACTTTGTTGAAGAGGATGACGCCCCCATCGCTGGGGAAAGGCTTCTGGGTGAGCCCCGCAGAGAAAGACACCAGCAAAGGCACTGGAACTCCTGGAGCAGAGAGGACAGAATGTGTCCCTGGGCCCCTGGGCTGGGGGTCAGGGCTGGGCAGTGGAGGCCTAGGTCCTGGGCCAGAGAGTCAGCCTCAGTTTTGTTTTGCCGTAAAGTGCTAAAGACGCATGGGACACAAACTCCTCATTCCCAAGGGCCAGGTGTTCCCCTCGTCAGGACAGCTGGGCAGTGGAGTAGATGCTTGCTGAGAGTGTACAGACCCCTGTGTGTGCACATTATGAAACTGATGCAGTGTGAGGGGACAGCTGAGGCTGGCTGGGTGTGTCGGTGGGGTGTGGGAGCTGACTGTGAGGAACTTCATGCACACATGTTCCTGTGCACACTGCATGGCTGTGTGTGTGTGTGTACACGTGGAGACGGATGGCCAGGGAGTGAGTAACAGAATAATCTAGGGAGCTACTTACTTACTGAAGAACCAATGAAACCTGGCCTCTCCAGGAAGCTGGTCAGGATGACACCCAGCAGAGACCCACCCAGTAACACTGAGAAATTTCCTGAGCTGGGATGACAGGAGAATTCCTTGTCTCAGGAATGACTCCAACCCTCTCTGGGGAGCAGCCTTGGAGAGCCTGGCCCATGGCAGGTGGTGGGGTGGGGTGGGGTGGGGTGGGGTGGGGGAGGGCTGGGCCAATAGCCCAGAGGGACACTTGGGAGGGGCAGAGGCTGCCAAGGAGAGTGGCCTCCCTGTCCATGTACGTACCTGGGGAGGTTGCAAGAGGTGACCTGGGGTATCCTGAAAAACAAATTGGAATGTCAAAGTCCTAAAAAACACCTCATTTTTCAGAGCCCCCTCCCCTTTTCCTCCCTGCTCCTCATACTCTGACCTGCCTTCCTAGAAGCAGCATGCTGCACCTGTTTCCTCTCTAACCCACTCATTCCCAGCGCAGACGTGGCGCTGAGGGCTTAGGAGGAGAAAGATGAGGCACTGGGCATCGCAGGCCTTGGGGGAGGTCCACCAACTGAACCCGACACATGCCCACCCCACACCTGACCTCCATGAGCACCTGCTCACGGCTCTTCAGGTAGCCAGGCTGAGCACAGGTTCATTGTGTGGATGCATGAAGGAACAGATTGCCTAACAATATAAGCAGCAATGGGACTTGGAAGTAACAGAAGGACAAACTGTCCTCTTAGAAAAAGCATACTGGCCCCAGGGAGAGCTGCACCTGGGGGCAGCCGAGAAGGAACAAAGAAAAGGAGCTGCTGAGAGAAAATGTGTCTCCTGGTCTTCTCAGCAGTGATCTCACCTGCCTGGCAGCCCCGGGGCTTCAGGGATTGTGTGTAAACCAGGCTGTAAGTCTGGCCAGACTCTGAGGGGCTAGTTTGCACTGTCCTATGGTAGTTGAAGTGACCTGCCCCAAGCAACACTATTTGCTTACATGGCATAGTCCTGAGCCTCAGTTTCCTCATCTGTAAAAGAAATAACCTCACAGTGCTGTCAGGAGCTGGAGAGGATCAAGCACCTGGTTCGATCCCTGACATATGGTAGGGATCCCACAAATGCTCGCTGCCCCTGCCGCCTCCCTCCCGCCTCCCCACAGGAGCCCCACCTCACTGAGGTGCTAGCCTTCACATGAGCACAGAGCACTTACTAGCCAAGCAGTGAACTAGGCTTTTCTCCTCCATCCTCACAGTGATGTCCTGAGGTCTAGCTTTGCAGCTGACAGAGCTGAGGCCTAGGTTAGGGAGCTTCCCCCGGTTCCCAAACCTGTAAGGATGCAGCTGGGGTTTGAGCAAGAACCTTCTGGTCTACCTACTCTGCGGTGCACTTTGTGCTTGCTGCAGAGCTCCCTATACACACAGGTTGCCAGGTACACTTCCCTCTGGGCAGGTCAGTGAGCTGCCCTTGTGGCCCAGAATGCCAGCCCATGTTGCCCCTGGGGTGGCCCAACCTCTGAGCATTCTCTTAGCAAGAACTGGCGCTTCAGGATGTCACATCTTTGGAGAGCTACCTTTCAGATCTCATAGCCTGAAGGCTGGACGCTGGGCCCTGGGCCTCAGCAGCCCTTGCACTCAGCTGGGCCTTACCTGGCGCTCCTGCAACGCCCTCGGCACTGGGTACGCGCCCCAGCCGTGTCTGGCCGTCCACGCCCCGCGGCAGGCCCCGGCCTGACATGCCCTTCCTACCCGGGGGCCCGGCCTCTCCAGTCTCCATGATGACACCGGTGTAGCCGGGAAGCCCCGCCCAGCCTGGGTGTGGAAGAGGGTCAGGCTGCGGGCCAGCGGGCATGGTGGGGGCCTCTGTCGGGAGCACTGCCCTCCCGGGCACCTTCACTTGGGGTGGTGGCACTTCCAAGGGCTCCTCCGCTGCACAGGTGCAAAGGGGAGAAATGCACAAAGTTAAAGGCTCAGACCTGACGGCTAGGCCCCAGACTGCTGAGGCTCGGTGGGCTCACTCAGTGGGACCATATGTGCATGCGGGGGTGACTGTCCCTGAAGCACCAGTTAAGTCATGGGCTCTGCTTCCAGTGCCACAGTATGGGGACAGCCTGCCTCGCAGCTTCAGAAGGAGCCTCCGGTTGGGCTGCCGTTGGCTCACATGGAGCTGTGGAGAAAGCCAGGTCAGACCCCTGCCCAGCAGAGGGGCCCTGTCAGCCTTTTCTCTATGTGATGGTTGCATTTCGCAAAACAGCAACATTCTTGGCTCCAGCCCCCAAAACTTCCTGATTTCAATGCATCATGGTCCAAAGATGGATCACAATTTTTAGGTTACTGGCACAGGCTAACTTTGGCTTTAAGATCAGCAACTGAGGGAATTTCCACTGGAGGAACCTCGTGATTCACATTTCATGCCCTCTTGGGATGGTGATCTGACACAGCCAGGAAGCTGCCGCCCTTTCCTCCTACAGATGCATTCCTGGAACTAGTCTTCCAGGAAGCCTTCCTGAGGGCCCACAAAGTATCTAAAAATAACTGGGACTGGCCAGATACCACCCTCAGAGGCCAGACCCCAAACTCCACCCATCTCCTCAGTCTGTATGGTGCCTGCAATGTGCAGGTTCCAAAGCTATACAATTATGTCCAGGCAAAAATCAGTGATTCCATTTTCACCCACCATCTACCTAGTTTGTTTTAAAACTAAGGTAACTGCACAGATCATATACAAGCTCTCCCTCCATCCATGGAGCCAGGTTGCTCACATACCTCCAGCCCCAAAGGGAGGTTATTCCTCACAGTCTTTCCCAACCAGTACCCCATGAGAGAATTAAGAACCACAAAGAATGGTTGATCCAAGGGTAAAAGAACTAATGCCATTGTATATGGAGAGAAGTTAATTAATGCCATCCAATGGAATGGAATCAGGCCTTAATTCTCTTCAAACTCTGGTCAGGAAGGGCTGGGTTAGAAAAATTGAGGCAGAGTCCAGACATGGGGATGCCAGCACAGTGAAGTTCAGGAGTGAGAGAACAAACAGTCTAAAAACACAAAGTCACAAAGTCTGCACACTGAATTAGGAGTCTTCCAGCCCCCTTACCCTGCTCAGCTTCCAGGACACTTGCTTATATCTCAGATCAGAGATGGAGGGACCTTCAAATTGACTCCATAGTGAAGCCCATAGGCATGAAACCCTATCTAGTGCCTCACCGTTAAATGTGAACCACAGTCAAGATCAACTTACACGCAAAGAAAACCTCCAATAAGAACATCAGAGACCAAAACAAGCCACCCAACCAACCAATGAAAAGGAATTATGAGGAAATACACAATGCAAGGAAACAAAAAATAACCTCAGAAAAAAAGAAGACACCCATAAAGATGCAAAAGTAGACTGGCATTAAAAGGGCATAATCAGAGAATAAGGAAAAGCCTTTGCTGATTAAAAATATGCTTTCCAAAATAAGAAAGTTCAAGGAAAGAGTTGGTAGATAAAATCAAGAAAATCTTTCAGAAAGTAGAACAGGAAGACAAAATGATGGAAACTAGGAGAGAAGCCATAAGAAAATTAGATGATCAACCCAGAAGTCTTCACCCCACCCCACCCCCAAAAAAATCAGAAAAACTGGGGCATAGGGATGATGAGCTGGTAAGGAGAGAATTAACAAATACACATACAATTTCTCAGAACTGAAGGAAATGAAAAATCCCAGCAATTTTTATTGAATAAAAGACCCAAACCAATGCATATCCAGAACACTGAGAATAAAGCTTCCTACAAGCTTTTAGGGGGAAAAAAATTAGAAAGTGACTTTGAATCAGAGGGGCATCACAGGCTTCTCAACAACAGTACCAGACACAAGAAGATGAGAACTATGCCTTCAGATTTTGAGGGAATATAATTTTAACCTTGAATTCTATACCCAGCTAAAATATCCATCAGTTATGAGATTGAAGATATTTTCAGACATACAATATAAAAAAAAAACTATCAAGCATTCTTTTTTAAAAAGCTTTTGGAAAATGTGTTTCAGTGAAACAAGGGAGTAAAACTATAAAAGAAAGGGACATGGAGTAAAGAAAAGGGTCTATGTCAGGAGAGAAGCTCAAGGCATTTCCAGGATGATAGTGGAGGAAGTTTTCAGATTGAAAGCCTTGCAGCAAGTCTAGAGGACAAGCAGTGAAGACTAGACCATGAAGAGAGAGACCTCCAAATGATCTGATATTTGTTACTGTGTAGAAAATCATATGGAGAGGGTGTTTGAGGGTTTGAAGAATCCAAAATAGAGACACAGAATCTAGCAAATAACACTACAGTGAATTCAGAGAAAAGCAAAATCATCATATACAACATAATTATGTTTAACTATTATTGATCTATTTAGTCCATAACTGTATAAATTCAGACTCTCGATTTTTGTTGTCTCTGGTGGGAGTTGGGAGGAAGGAAAGCAGGGGAGACATGAGAGACATGTCTACAGCTGACAAATTAAATACATAATATCTAAATACTATATATGGTATCTCTATAGAGAGACAGCTAAAGCTAATAAATCAACTTAGAAAGAGGAAGGTAAATACAGAAAAAAGCAGCCCTAAGAGTTGCACATGGCTGTCTCCAGGGAGTGAGAAGGGTGCCAGGCGGAGGTGGGTGGACAGGGGAGCTCGTTTCATCATAAGCTTCTTGGCACTATTTATTTTTATAAGATGTGATTACAGAAGGCACTCTGGCACCTGTCCCTCCCCCTCCCTTCAGTGCAGGCTTACCTGGTCTGCGCCTCGCCTGTCCCAGCCCAAGTGTCCTCTTCCCCCTCTTGGTGGAGTCATTCCACCCAACATCACTCCTGTACCCTCAGGCCCACCTGCCTTCCTACCGGCTCCCTCCCTGTGGCTCAAGTTTCTGTATCTCCATCCAAAACGTAAAAATAATTTTTTTGACTCTCCCTGATTACAGTCAACAAAGGACCGTAAAATAGCAAAGTTCAAGCCCCCAAACGGGTCCTGATTTCCTACCTGGCGCCACCAAGCCCTTCACACCAGCCCCCTTTCTCTGAAATCCATCCTTTTCCATCCCTCACTGGGGTACCAACCTTCTCTCTCCTTTGTCACTCACACATGTGTGCGTGTGTTCATACCCAATCTGTTGCTAAATCCAGCTAATTCTCATTCTGAAATCATTTGGGCTCCTTCTTCAGAATGCTCTTTAGAAAGCACCCTAGTCATATTATTCCCTGCTCATAACACCGAGTTGAATCTCTGACTTCCAGACACTGTTGCCTGCAAAGCATCCGTTATTTATTACGTGCCGCCCTCATCTCAGCCTCCTACCTACCTTTGCACCTTTGCTTTCTCTGTCTGCCCCCAAAAAGCCTCCTCTGCACCCTCCTGATGTCCCAGCTCGGACACTGCCTCCTCCGTGAAGCCCATTATGGTTCTGCCCAGTCAGGATTTAACAATCTTGCCTGTGAACCACAAAGCTCTTTGGGCCTCTAAGGGCTCTTTCAGATTTTCATCTCTCCTCTCTTCCTGGATGATGAGCACCTGAGGACGACACATTTTAATGATCTTTTATCCCCAGGGCTTAGCAAGTCCTAGCACAAGACAAGGAGACCTACAGTGTTTGGTGAATGAAAGGCAGCTGGGAATAGGGCAGGTGCTGGGGACCACACCCCAACTGCCTCTAAATTAGGTGCCCTGGCCATCCATCCCGGGGCCTGTTAGGGCAGTGCTGGTTCACACAGGCTGTGATGTTCTCCCTCTTTTATTCGATCCCTCAACACCCAGGCTTGTCACACCAAGTGGAAAACAGAGGGGAGGAAAGGAATAAACCACTTGGGCCAAACGTTCTCCAGTGGTCTCCTTGGAGCACATCCCTAAGTGCTGAGGACAGCTGACTGCCCCCGGCCACCTGCACATCACAGCAAAGACGGTGACTAGTAACTGTACTGGGGCCTCACAGTTGCCCCAGCCGTGGCCTCCCCCAGCTCGTGCCCACGCCACAGCATCCGGTGGTGTTTTCAAGGCATGTTCATGACCAGCCAGCACTTGCTCATTCTGGAAAGATAATTCTCTGGCAGTTGATGTTTTTCTGAACCAAATATGTTTCTAATTCAGAGAGTGACCATTTGAATGGAGTTATCCATAAGAGCCAAGTGTTGCTGCCTGTGTGTTCCACACGGGAGGAGTGGTAAGAAGGGATCGACCATGCGTGTGTGCCACCCTTCCGGCCACCTGCCCTGAGGCGCCTGTCCTGATGCCAAGGTGTGGCCTTAGGTCCCCATAAGCCACGGCCTTACCATGGAGGGACCTAACATGCAGGTAGTAAAGGAGCACTCCTTTAAAGTTCTTATTAACAGTCAATTTCAACTTTACTAATACAAAAACCTGCCTGAGAAAATGCCCAGTAATCCTTCCAGCTGATTGACACCCTAGCTCTGTGGACAGGAGTCCGGGCTGCCTGCAGCCGCCAGGGAGCCCTGAAGGGAGTCAACTGCCATTAAACTAACCTGCAAGAACCGAGGCCCCTTGGCATGTGCCTGGCAGCTTGGGGGTGTCTTGTCACAGAACAGGAGGCCATGGGGGATGGACACTGGCCTTAGATGTCAGTGTCTGTGTCCCAGGCCTGGCTGGGGACAGTCACGGGGCCGACTGGCGTCATTAGCCGTGTCCAGTAGATGGTCTAACCCTGCAGTGCCCTCTTGCTGAGCAGGCAGTGCGTTGTCCTCCCCATCCACCCCCGCAAGGGTGCAGCTCACTCATCGGAAGTCAGGTCGCAGTGGACTCTGATCTGCCTGGAGCCCAGAGGTGTGCCTCATGCCCAGTGCTGCAGCCACACCAGCATTTTCAGGATGTCAAGCAAGACCTCTTGATTAAAAGCAAAAAATCCATCGATATGCAGAATGCGGCTGGCAGGCTGAGGGAGGCGCGGCTGG